TCCCCATCTCTGCCACCCCCTCCAGCCCCCTATACCCCGTCCCCATCTCTGCCACCCCCTCCAGCCCCCTATACCCCCTCCCTATCTCCACCCCACGTACCGGCCTCCCGTGTGTCGATGGTGAAGTGTGCTGGCTCAAAGGTGTGCGCTTCCTTGAGGCCTGGTCCGGACACACGCACACGGCTTGCATCGCCCACCTCTGATTGGTTGATCATGACAGTGATGGGGCTGTTGGCCACGTGGCGGCCATTCTTCTTAATGTTGACAACATGCTCACCCATCTCCTTCGGGACAAACGATATACCTGTGGGGGTTTCAGTGTGGGCGAGTGAGGTCAAGAAAAATGGGGTAGAGTGTATAGAGATAGGAGAGAAAGAGGGGAAGAAAAGAGAAAAGTTGGGAAAGGGGACAGGATTATTCTCCTAACTCTGCACTGCCCAGACTCCGGTCTCCCCATACCCCTGCTCCCTGCTTGACTGGACAGTCAGATCAGAGAGACATTGAGCCCCACAAATATCCAAAGGGGGTGCCTAGAACGCATTACCTCAGCACCATTCCCCCAAATCTCCATAGCCCCACCCCACACAAACACCTCCACCCCCACTTCATCCAGACAATCTGGACAGTTCTCCACCCCCACAGGCAACTGTGGTCACTGAGGGGGAGGGTGGGATGGGGTTGGGTAGGCCTTATTCAGGCCCCCGGACACCTGCCCTCATGGCCAGAATGGTGCCAGCAGTGCCAACTGAACTAGGAGACAGGATGGGCAGAGTGGCTGCAGCTGCAGTCTCACATGGTGAGGTGTATTTTGCGAAGGGGTGGACAGAGGGGTTTGCGGAGGCGACGGTGATGTAGGTGATGTACATGGAGGAATCCAACTGGGTCACTCTACAGGAGGAAATGACGCAGACATAAACAGGTAGAGTGGCCTCTTTCCTGTGCTCCCTGAAGCCTGTATAGTAGGCTCAGATGGGAGCGATGGTTTGGGACCCCGTGTTCTTGGGGCACCTTTCCAAAGATGGCGCCAACGCAGCACCTACCAATATTCCCGCCACGCAGCCTCTTCAGCAGGCAGGACTCCTCCCGGCCAGAGGGAGCAATCACGGTGGCAACCAGCTGGCTGAGGTCCGTCTCGCTGATGTCCAGGGGTATGTCGGTCGAGGAGCCCACCTTCAGCTGGGACATCCTCATGGAGTCGTCGCCTGGAGAGGTTACACAAAGAGAAGTTCGGTCAAGAGAAAATAAATGTAAAAGGAGGAGAGTAGCCCAGGAGCACGGCTCAAATGTCCAGTCGCCCAAGACTCCACGGAAATAATTCATTCCTCCACCACAAATTATTTCAGTCAGCTGGCCTGAGCCATCTCGTGACAACGAGCACTGCCAAAGCTCAGTTCCTGGGAAAAATGAGCAGAACTCAAAGCATGATCATAGGAGGCTTACATGGGCCAGACCAGGCCCAGGTGGACAGAATGGCCTCTCCCTTTGACATGTGGTTTACTCATTTAATGCAAGAGTTGACGTTAAACTTTAGCTCCGGTCTCCCTTTTGAGGGAGATAAATTGCAGCAGGCCAAGAAAGGTGATAGGCCTGAGGCCTCAAACTGCAAGAAAGTGCTTCCCTACCTGTGATCTTGGAGACGAAGGGACTGCCAGGAATGTGCTCATCGTTGTATTTGACCAGGATGTTGTAGTCTCCGGGTAGAACGGGCAGGTAGGAGACGGTGCAAGTCCCATCCTTATTGTCTGTGCAGCTGATATCCGCCTTGGAAGGACCTTCGATTGCCAGGGCCAGACCGCCTACAAGAACCAAGACGTTAGGAGGAACAGGAGGAGGAGGACGACGACAAAGAGGAAGACGGCATAACATGGCAGCAAAATGGAAAAGGGGACAGAGAAACAAACACAGCTGAAGAGAAGGAAAAGTCTGCCACGTGAATTGGCAGTTGGCACCCAGAGACTATCGCGACAGACTCACCCTCGCCAGCATCTTTAGTGTCGACGGTGAAAACAGCTGGCTTGTTAACCACTCCATGAATGAGGCCTGGGCCGTAGGCATTGACATGTCCGCTGTTGACTACATCCACGTAAAACTGCAGAGGACACCCTGAGAACGAGAGAAGAGAAACAGAAACGAAAGCTTACTAAACCAGCAAGGCACCAAATCAAACACTGATGGGCTTGTTCTCTCGTTTCCCAAAGCACCAGGAATTTAGGGAAACTGTTTCTGTCTTTCACAGTGCAAAAGGTTTATTCAACAGCTCTGCTATTTCCTCATTCCCCATTGTTATCTCCAGTAAGGGGTCTCGAGTCACTTTGGGCCTCTCTTCCTTGTTACACAAGAAGCTCTTACCATCCATTTGCTCTTGCTACTTTGGGCAGCCCAGTCACTCTGAGCAAGCTCCCTAAAACAAGGCAGCACTTGCAAAACTTTTTTGGTAAACTGGCAATGGGTGAAAGGTTGGGGTTAGGGTAAAGTGTGAGTGAGGGATGGAAACCAGAGCAATAAAATTGGAGGATAAAACATGGAGAGGGGGGAAGGTGGGAGAAAACACTGATCCTCCGACAGCGCCCGCTCCCTCAGCGCTGACCCTCTGACAGCGCCTGCTCCCTCAGCGCTGACCCTTCCTCAATGCTGACCCTCCGACAGCGTGGCGCTCCCTCAGCGCTGACCCTCCCTCAATGCTGACCCTCCGACAGCGCGGCGCTCCC